AGGTCTTTACTGTTTGAAGGGGCAAATGAATTGCAATCAGGATGTGGTAGAGGATTTCAAAATTATTGTTAATAAACTTTCATTTCCTTTTGCTTGCATTAATATTGATGTTTGAGGACCCTTCCCTACTTTGTTACGTGAGGTCATAAATACTTTGTATGTTTTGTTGATGATTGTTTTAGGATGAACTAGGATGGACTGGATAGATATGTTGAAGTCTCAAAGTGATGTCATACATGTTATTCCTCGATACTTTGTAAATGATGCCATCTGTTGGAATAAGGGTGTAATCCGAATTCTATTTGAACATTTTTTTGAGAATTCTATTTGAAGTTGACTTAATAATTCTACTTAGAAATGGCTCGGTTGGCCTGTGGCTCGGCCCGGGAAAAGGCCGAGCTGAGTCTGTTGGTGCTCGGGACCACCGAGGCTTAGGTCGAGCCCCATTTTGGGGCATCGGCTCGAGCCGAGTCAGCCCGTGGGCCCGTGTCACTAGTCATTTCTGCCCGTCGAGTTGAGCTTTATTAAAAAAAATTTTAAAATAGATTTTAAATTCACGCCTATATAAATTGCATAAATTTTAAATTCTTAAAAAAAAAAATTAGATTTATCACGAAAAAAAGAGCCGGCTCGGCCCGCTAAGGCCTGATTCGAAAGCTTGGGTCGAGCTTTCGTTTTCTGGTAGAACTTTTGCTTGGCTCGGGCCAAAAAAAGCCCGAACCATTTTTGCTCGAGCCGAACCTGAACTTCAAGTTTCGACTCGTGGCTCGACTCGACTCAACTCGTTGACACCCTACATTTCACTATCATTTGAGTGATCAAGGCTCAAGATAGTCATTATTGCTCCCCCAACAAGTTAAAAAGTAGACAAACAGAAGAAAGGTTAGAATAAAAGACACAAAGTGGAGCATCAGAGAGAGGTTGTCGGAGCGAAAAGGATTTGTAATTTGACGGTTAGGTTAGTGGATTGTTCGTCTTTACATTTGGACGTCAAGTCTGGCGATCCACGTTATTTTTCTTGCTTTTGCTTTTGCTTTTGTTGGCACTTCTTATGCTATTTTTACAACTGAAAAATCAAGAACCCCTTATTGTAACTTCCACAAGAACTCAAGGAAAACACCCACACACACACACACACACACACAAATCTTTGTTAAAGATAATGAAGCCAACCAGCAGAACTTTGTAAAGCAGAACGGTAAAGAACTCAGAAATACACAGACACACACATATATATACAGATATGTTCATATGGAAACGACAATACTAAGAAAAATGCCATACCAGGGAGTGTGAAATTCGGATGGTTGAATATTGATGTCCACAGCGAACTTGGGAGGAGACTATAAATGGTGACATGTTATACAAGTGACTGAGTGAGTGAAGACTGAGTCCAAAAACAGAAAAGGAGAGTATAGAATGGGCAAACGACCAAAGAGCTTGACTTTGAACTTGTTTACCTACATTTTAAATGGAATAATGATATTTATGATTATGATGATGGAATGCGAGGAGAGGGAAAGAAATGTGAGAGATGATGAATTGTCACGTCACCGATGTTTAATCATCATGATGATAAATAACATTACTCTTTTAAGTATATATTTTTTTCAAAAATAAAAATAAATTATTTAT